CGCCTGGCCAAACTCAGTAACTTCTTATCAGTAAAGCTGCCTGTGCAGTTCCCCTTATCTTATGCAGCTGTGGGTATGTCTCGAGGCAAGTGCAAATTGCTGCTTCTCTTGTGTAACTGTGGGTTTGTTTTAGATAAGGCCCCCTCCTCCCCGTGCCAGTTTCCGTGGAGTCCACCGTGTATATGCCTGAAAAGGGGAGGCAACTTTCCCGGGAGCCTGCTGGCTATACAAAGAACAGAGGGCTTTTGCGCTGGACCCTGTTTGCTTCTCTGTGTGCAGGTCCAGCTTGAGTTTTTTCCCAGATTGTTTTATTTTTGCCAGTTTCTGTGACTTTTCAGGCAGGCCACTTCGGAGGTGGGAATTTTCCCCAACGGATTTTTCTTTTCCTTCTCCCTCACTACCACAGGTATGGGGGGACACAGGTATAGGGGCCAGGCCAGCCCCTTTTCATCCACAGTCAGCACTTCTGTGCTTGATCTCAGGCCCCTCTTCGAGCCACTGCTCCTTTGAGCCAGTGGACGGTGAGGGTTACTGAATTCAGAGAGTGTCCCCCCCAAACTCATGTCCTTACCAGAACCTCAGAATGTGAACGTATTTGGAAATTGGGTCTTTGCAGATGTCATTAGTTAAGATGAGGTCATACTGGAGTGGAGTGGGCCCTGAATCCAATCTGACTGGTGTTCTTGTAAAAGACACAAATAGACATGGAGGAAAGGTCATATGAACACAGGCAGAGATTGGAGTGATGCAGTCATAAGTCGAAGAATGCAAAGATTGCTAACAGCCACCAAGAGCTAGGAGAGAGGCGTGGGACAGACTCTTGAACTTTGACAGAGAACATGGTCATACTGATGCCGTGCTTTTGGAAACTAATACAATTCAGGGACCTCAAAGGGGTCCCAGGAGCAGCTCTGACGCTCCTAGTTCACTTTCTTTAACCACGTACAAAATGATTGCTCTTCCCAGAGGCTTAAATGACCTGGCCTGACGCAAATATATTGATGTGAAGGGAGTATATCTTTCTGATCTTTGCATTGGGCCGCTAAAAATAACCAGCAGAGGAACCCAGGCCTGACGCCTACTCCCTGCCTCTGGAAGCGCTCTTTTTTCTGCCTCCGTTAGGAGTTGCAGGAACAGGCAGTCTTTGGCAAGTTCTGACTTCCGTTTTCTCCCTACTTTGAGGCTTGCGACTCCTTTGCCAAGTTTTTCTAAGCACATAATGGGTGCCACAGAAATTCTGCATTTGAACAGAGCAGCCCATATCCACAGTTCTCGCCACAGCTGCTAACAAAGCCAAGGGTTTTCTTTTTTGTTTTTCAGCCTGGAATACTTTTGTCCCCTCTTAGAATCCTCATCTGAGTTCCACCATCATTTGTGTGTTCAACAGGCTGAGCACCTCGTATATGCTCCATTGCTGATGATCCCTGCCTTCATGGAGCTTAGATTTTCAGGGGGAAACAGACATGAAACAGTTATGTGATGAATGCGAGAAGCAAAGGGCGGGACTTCGAGCGAAGGATGTTGCAGGTGTGGCAGGGAAGCCTCTCCAAGCCCATTTAGACTGATTTGAAGGGAAGAAAAGAAGGTGCAGCTGTGGGCACATCAGGGCCAGAGCCTGAGGTGGGAAACAGCTTGGCAGGTGCAGCAGGAAGAGCCACGTGGTGGGAGAGGAGGGCCATGGGGGAGGGGGTGGAGGTGGTAAGCAGGGTTGAGGTGGTAAGCAGGGTTGAGGTGGGAGGGCCAGGCCAAGGCCAGATCCTACATGCAGGGATCCAGGGAAATGGGTGTGGATTTCAGCCAAAGTGAAATAGTAAGCCATTGGAAGGTTTTTAAAAAACTTTATTAATATATAATTTACATACTGTAAAATTCTCCTGCTTTAAGTGTACAATGCAATGATTTTTAGTGAATATACATCGATATTCCAGCATCACCATTATCCAGTTTTAGGATTTTTTTTTAATCACCCAAAAAAGTTCTGTCATGTAGTTCTATTATTTAGAGACAGGATCTCGTTCTCTTGCCCAGGCTGGAGTACAGTGGTGCAATCATGGCTCACTGCAGCCTCGACTTCTTCGGCTCAAGCAATCCTCCTGCCTCAGCCTCCTGAGTAGCTGGGACTACAGGTGTGCGCCACTACGCTCAGCTAATGTTTGTATTTTAGTAGAG